CGGGCAGCTCTCCATTCTCCCAAACAGGCTGCTAAGAAAACAGGAGAACGCAGCCCGAGCTCTCCTTTTCGTGATTCTGGGCTTTTGATTTCATTTGGCCTGTAAACCTTGAAAAACACCTGGGAGTGCTGTTCTGCAAGTGACAAGTGTTTGGACAACATGTATTTCCAGAATGCGTGCCTTCCCAGTACACTGCCAGATGAAATATCCCTGGCATAGCATCTGCAGGCTTCTTACTGTTAAATTTTCAGTGTCCTTGGTGCAGGGTGCCAGGCTGTTGTTGTCACTTCAAGTCAAATTTAAACTAGATTTCAGAATACCAGGATTGTCTGCAAAACAAAATGACTTTTCTCCATCCAGTTTGACAACAGAACAGTTCATCCAAATATGTAAACGTTAAGAACTAAAGAGAAGAATGGTTATGGTAAGGCTGGAAGCATGAAATGAGAAGAAAAGGGAAATGGTCTAATATCTGTTCTAAACTCCTTGCAACGTTTAACTCCTGAGTGGAAAAATAGGCTCCCATTGGCAATTGTCATGTGAAGTACTTAAAGTCTTGAAGTCTGTGAAGAGATTAGGCTGTGTAGTAGAGGGAGCAGTCTAGCTTTCAAGATAAATGGACTGGACAATCTGCACATTTCTTCCATTTTTGGCTTCTAAATGCTGGTTTGTCACATTTCTTTGCAGAGTTAGTAAGAATTCTGTTGTGAATATTACGTTACTAAGCCTTCATTACTTATTTATCAGTTGTTAAGTGGTGTCTATAGTGTCTATAAGAGCCTGTTGTTAAGTTGTGCTAGAGTCTGTATGAGATACAGACAATTCTTGCCCAAGGAGTGTATTGTTTAAAAGGTCTCATGTCAGATTTAGTGCTCCTAAGGAAGGCGTTATGTTAAAAATCAGATTTATTACAGTATTGTCAGGAATTGAAGCTGAATTATCCTTCTGAAAATATATGACTGAATATTTTGTTCTGCATTGCCCTTGATTGTTGTTGTTGTTCATGCACATGACAATTCTTTACACTTAATACTTACTAGTTCGTCTGGCATTAGTGTAGATTAGTGGCTTTGTAAGTTTTTCTTAGTAGAGCAAGCCTTTATATTAAGGAAGCATTGTGTGATAGAGTTTGTGATTGCTAGGTGATGCTAGCTGATGGTTACAACAGGTAGTTGAAGTTCAGGGTTTTGCATCTCTTCTGATTCACAGATTTAAGTGCTAACCTATTTTTCTTTTCTAGTTTAGTATTTCTATTCTTATCAATGTTCTTCAGAAGTAATTTGTCTTCTTTAGGGGCCTGTCCTTAAAAAATGAACACAGGCACCGCTCACAGATTTAAAAGCCAGCCAGTTTGAAAATCTCACTGTGCCTTTTCCTCGCCTATTCCAAAATTTGCTGAGGCGTGTGTAAGCTGTGAATTTTGAAGTATATCTTTTGGTTTGCAGTTGCAAGTGATCACATGGTGGGGCTAGCAGTAAACATATTCATGCGGGATTAGATCCTTAATATTTAAATGATTTCTGATTTGTAGATCAAAGGTGTTACGGTGATTACTAACACTAGAATGTCTGCTGCAAAACTAATTAATCTGTCCGTGTACGTTCACTGGAGAGGTGCACTGCATGTCTCTGGATGAGAGAGAATTTTCAGTCTTCATATACAAATATTAATTTGTTATTTCTGTAGGTTCTCTTAAGAATCTTAGACCAATACAGGCAAAAAGACTATGTTGCACCACGTGTTCTTCAGCAAACGTTAAACTATTTGAATCAAGGGGTTATTCACTCTCTAACATGGAAGCAAATGAAGCCACACATACAGGTCAGTGCATAAAACTCAGCCATAAGCACTGCATGTCATCAGGGTGATTAAAAAAACCCCAAAACCCCCAACCAATCTTGCAGTTTTAAAGACCGTTTCATAAATCTTTCATGCAGCAATCGATGTGGGCAAAAAATAGCATTTCTACATTAATGTGGTTGGTTTTTTTCAGCAAAACCTTTTATTGCAGGTATTGTTAACCCAATTAAAGATTCAGTTCCCTAAGTTCTTTATTTTTATTTTTGAGGTCTGCCAGAAAGTCCTAATGTTCTGCCTTTTACTAGTTGCTGATGTTCAAAATTGTCTATAGATTTGGAAACTCATAATTGGTTGTAGCACGAAAATAGTAGGCAAAGAGAACGTGGACCAAGAGGAACTGAACTCTGTTTTAAGGACACGTTTTATAAGTGAACTCAAAACACGTGAGAAGTGATTTTCATGCTTTTGGTTTTTTCCTGTCATAAGCTCCACCTTGTAGATAGATAAAGCCATGAGTGTTAAGAGGATGGACTCTGAAATCAATTCTCATGTTAAATGTTGCATTGGTGAGATCCTTCTGCAGAATGTGATGTTCTGATGTTTATAGACTATTCCCTGAAGTGTATTTTGTGCATGGTACTGTAGTATTATGAAGATAGGCTATGTAATTCCT